GGTGGTGGCTTTGCCACACGATGTTGTGCAGGAACAGGAACTTTTGCTGGGGGAGGCAGAGTGATGTGAGACATTATCAGACATTATCAGACGAACCAAAGACGGAGAGCGAAACGAAACAGGCAGGAAGGGGGGCAGCGCAGGATCTGGGCAGCTGTACAGTACAGCAGAACCCGACGGTAAGAGATCGGAAACAGCAGGCTTGTTCTCGGGGGCCTCAGGGTCTTTGAGGCTCTTCGGTGTTAGGGGGGATGGCGAAGCCTCACAGTCTTCAGGCAGGGAAGCCTTGGACTCAGGGGCGCAGCAGCAGCATTTTTCTCTCTTCTCCCTCTTTTGTCTGCGGCGTATAGCACAGCCAGAAGAACCCAAGGGTCTCAAACAAACAAGAGCCGAGGCAAAATACGGGTCTAGAGGGGTGTTGGCAACTGGACTAGTTAGGTAGTTAGTTGGCTGTGTCTTTTCCCCCTCCTCAACTGGAGTTGACTGAGTTGTACGTTTAGCCCCACGTACGTACTCTGGAAGTATGGAATGACTGGCCCGATTCACCAGGCCGCGAGTACTGCAAGTGAGTTGGCAACCTTGTCACTTGGTGTTCTAGGACCAGCTGCATTTATTTCACAACCGGCATTCAGAATAGCCGTTTAGTTCCGGTGCACATCAAGTAAATCCGGGGGACACTCTCTGCTATGTTCGGATCCCGGGCGCCGACTGCATGCTTGTGCGACCTCGAGACACGATCACGTCTTGCCGAGTGGCTTTATGTTTACACCGACTTACCTACTTTACTAGCTAACCAACACCCGAGGACTCACTCACAATTCGCTTCACCAACAACCAAGTCCCAGCTGGAGCCGCAAATCCCGTGATCGGCGAAGCGGCGTGCTCCCTAGTCTTCGTCTCACCGAGAGCCGAAGTGGCATTGACAACATGACCCTCCCATCGCCCCCCTTCGTGGACATCCCGGGCCTCAGAAACTTCAGGGATCTTGGTGGCTATCCGGTAGCCGGCGAGCCGGGCAAAGTGGTCAAACGCAACCTTGTCTTCCGCGCATCTGAGCCCTCCAAGATCACCGACGAAGGCATATCCAAGCTAAATGCCCTGGGTATCACTCATGTCTACGACTTGAGATCCGAGGTGGAGATTCAGCGGGATGCCGATGCAGCAGGTCGTCGGGTCAAAGAGTGGGAGGGGGCGAAGCGAGTGTTCGTCCCAGTATTCAGAGACCATGACTACAGCCCCGAGGCCATCGCGCAGCGTTACAGTGGCTATTCCAGCAAGGGACCCGAGGTAGGTTGTGCGGAATCCCATTCTATCAAATAAAGATGAGGCTGCCATTCAGGCTGCCATCCCCTAGATCTAGGCGCACCAGATCTCGTCCTACTCGCTGTAGTCACTGCGGATTGACATCACTGGCGCTCGCTCCCCCCTATTCCAGCCCCTCCATCTTCGACCCCGCTGCACACCCTCTTCTTCAACTACCCCTGGCTCGGATCATTCTATAGCAGCCAGACGCTATACTAATCCCTCGCAGGGCTTCGTCCGCATCTACCAGGACATTCTGGCTGCTGCTTCGGCCGAAGACCACCCTCACGCCCCGTTCACCACCATCCTGGAGCACCTGGCCAGCAGCGATGCTCCCACTCCGCTGCTGGTGCACTGCACGGCTGGGAAGGACAGAACAGGCGTCATTTGCGCCCTGATTCTGAGTCTGTGCGGCGTGGAGGATGACGCTGTTGCCCATGAGTACAGTCTCACAGAACTGGGCCTGCAGGAGCGCAAGGAGGAGTTCATCAACATGCTCATCCAAGGCGATGCCCTCAGGGCCGACCGCGACGGTGCAGAGCGCATGGTCAGCTCGAAGTGAGTGGCCCTTCAAGCTCTAGGTCTCATGATTTACAGGACTACGGGATTGTGACATCTAACAACGATTAGGAAGGAGAGCATGCTCGGAACGCTGGCTATGATCCGCGAGAAGTACGGCTCCGTCGAGAAGCTCATCATTGACCAATTCCGTATCTCGCCCGAAGCCATTGCGCAGATTCGTCGCAATCTGGTCGTCGACCTGCAGGATGGCGAGCAGCCGTTGGACTGGCAGAGCCATGCAGAGTTGATTCCTTAATGCATGAGTGAAAGGAGGAACATTTGAGGTAATTCTCTCCGCTTAATATGATACAGCTAGATACAGCTATAGAGTACATTGTCCGTACACAAATTCCGGGATTCGCTTAATAGAGGGACGTGGGAGGTTCTCGACCTCGTCTTTTCAAGCCGCGAACACGGCTCCCGCTTCGCTATCATACAGTTCCAGCGCCGTGTCTGAAGATAGAAGGCATGATTACCCAACGCTGGTGGGAATCTTGACCTGGCCTCTCTTTCTGTCATAGAAAGGCACGCCATATCTCCAGCCCGTGCCCTTTCGTGACCTGCCGTCCTTGCCCACATCATCGACGTTGATCTCCTTGAACCTGAACTCGAACCGGCCAGAGTCCACTCTCGTCGTCCGCTCCTCTTCCAGCTGTGCCTTTCGTACTTCTCGGGCGGCGATCTCTCGTTCTGAGACGGCCGCCTGCTGCTTGAACTTCTCGAAGCTGTCCACCTCATCACTGCCCGATAAGATCTCCCTGTGCATGCCGATCAGCTCGGGGTGTGGTACCCTCTTGTCTGGGGACATCATCTTGTCGTGGAACGCCTTGGCGGCATCCTCACGCGTGAATTGCCTTGATTCGGAGGTGGGGAGGAATAGTTGCTGCATGGTGTGGCTGTGGACATGGAGCTCGTTGATGGGCTCATGGGCGTTTTTCTCGCCCGGACGGTATCTCGTTTGAGGAAGCATGTCCATCACAGCCTTGGCGTATGGCTTCGCCAGTGGTATTCCCTAGTTGAACATCGAGTGTCAGCTCACTCTGCAGTAAACCAGAGGAGGGAGCAAAGACTGGAGGATTGAACTCTTCTCAGAGAGGCTCGCAAAGCTAAATGTGTAACCATGTGTTGCATGTCTTCAAGACTAATCGAATGAATGGTAATCATCATAGGAGAGTAAAGGGGAAAGTGTATCCATCTGCTAGGGGAGATGAGGACGAGAGCAAGCTTACTTTCGATACCCAATCCTTTTCTACTTCCTTCAAACGGACCACTGCAGCCACTCTTCTCATGTCGACACCAAGCTCCGCAGAGACCGCTTTGATCGATTCTCCGTGCCGCATGATCTTCTCCCAGATCATCTCCCGCGCGTCTTCAGAGAGGACGCGCTCGCTAAGGAAGTTCGGATTCTCGGGGAACGGCTGTAGTGGTTGGTATGGCGAGCCCATGTAGTTCGGCCCCGAGCCGGGGCTGTGTGTCTTGAACTTCTTGCCTTCATCCTGGAGCCATAGTCTCATCTTCCGCCTCAGGACTGTGGATGCCACATGGCATGATGGTGTGGAGGAGAAGAATCTGGCTGATGCGGATCTGGCAGGGCACGCGAGCGCTGCGGCCTCGGCGCAGGCTTGAAGGGAGTGCGCAGGTACGCGCGTAGGCATCTTGGTGGATATATCACTCAGGCCGCCCCAATTGTCGCATCGTATGCGTGGTGGCTGTCGAGTTGCTGGTTGAAGCTCCAAGCTGTGGACAATTGATAGAGGGAAAAAAATCTAGATCAATTTCACTGAGCTAAAGTGGTGCTTGGAGAAAGGTCCAAACGCACAGGCCACTCACAACGCTACAACCACCTGCGAGCCAATCAGCGCGAGTGAGCTTCAACTGGTCTGAAGAGGCAAAATCACTGACATGAGACGGGAGTTGATGATCGGATTGATGTAGTTCCTAAATCTGTCGATGATTTTGATTCATCTACACCTCAGCACCAGGTATTATTTGGAAATACACCACTTAGCATGCACAATACAGCGTCTGTGATGCAACCTCACAATTTGGCAACGCAAAAGCTCAATCAGCACATTTGTGATTGCCTGTTTTGATTGGCGGAAAACAGGCCAATTGAACATTACAGGCTGCCTCATCCAAACATTTTGTGAAACGTCCTGCCACTCACCGCATCCTGCAACTTCGACCCTCGATGCCATTCTGATATTCTTATCTACCAGCAAATTCTTGTCAGACTGCACAATACTTTATCCTATGTAACACTACTAGGTATATGATCTAGAGACAATTCATCACTCCTCATTCGGCTTAACAACACCAGGCAATGCCTATGGTAAGACTTAGGAACAAATTTTATACCTTGAATTCTGGTACTACTCATAGGTAAATGCGGCTATGATAGATGTCCAGATCTCTCTTAATCGGTTATGTGTAGTACTCCCTGGGCCTCTACAAGAAACATAAGCAGTTTACCGCTCCGCACTTCAATACATGAGACTAGAGGCAGTACAGCATATCAAAATCGCAGAAATGCCAGCTCCAGGCAAGTTTCAGGCACCGATGAATGCCTTAAATTTGGTCAAAGACCCAGAAGTCCTTAAGCCGAAGGCAGGGTCTTCCGAGCAACAAGCCAGTCCCTCCACCAGTCACATTGGCATCAAGAACATACATGATCATGCAGTATTCACCACACAGCAGACCCCGAAGAGAATTGAGGAAGCAATAATAGAGAATTCAAAGCTCCCCTGGGGGAGTTCTGGCCTTGTCCCCCCGTTTACTATTCAAAGGACTCAATCTGCAGACTCTTACGGAAATGAAGCTACATCTACTTCACACACTCCTCTGATAGTACCACCACTTTACAATCAATACGCCGTGGCACTCTCCCCTTCTATCCCAGACATCATGCTATCATCTTTCACTGTGCCATCCTCACTTCCAGCTCAGCCTCCAGTCGCTTCAGGAACCTGGAGCTTTGCAGATGATTACATTCTCTTGCATGCCCATAGCGATGGACTAAACTGGGCACAAATCCAGCAGAAATTCTGGCCTAATAAGACTCCTTATGCGTGTCGTCAGCGGTACCAGTGGCTAAAAGAGTGTGGAGAAGTCGACAATTGGTACAAGAAACAAGCGGCCAAGGCGTATATGGGCTTACAGAAGAGTTTGGCGTTGGGAACGGGTGAGAAATGGAACGTCGTGGAGCAAAAGGTAATGGATAGCGGTCTTAATGAGATGCAGGAAAGTTCTCGCCTTCTTGGGTCGCATGCCATTGCGCATGGCAAAATGCCTCTTACAGACTCTGGCTATGCGTCAGGGCCAAGGCCGAATAATTCTCCCAATGTTCTCATCGCTGGTCAAAATGTAGAGATCGAAGGTCTCCCCCCTTGCTTGCCATCAAGAAAATCTCAAGAGGACGATTCCATGACTCTAATATCTACAGTCAAGACGGATATGGCAGGCTTTGTTCAACAATGTCTTCATGATATCTGCCATGATATGCATGACAAGATTGCACCACATATACATCACGAGAGTTGGAAGAGCATGTCGAGATACCTTTCCCAGACTTTGAAGGCTTTTGCCATCAAATTTGGTCTCAGTCATACCCAGTCACTAAATCGTGAAATCATGCACTTTATATACAGACATCATGAGTAAGTCGCTTCATAATCCGAGATCAAGAATATCAATTAAACGAACTACACAGAGACATCAGTGATAATCTATTGGCCATGTTACAGAGCGATAATCCAAGTATCCCAACTCAGGAGAATCATTCTGCCGGCATGTCTTTGAATGAGAAAATGACTTTGTGGGCCCAGAAAGACGGCGCTGATGACGCACAAAGAGATTTGTCCCAGTACTTCGAAGGAGTGGGAGCTTTTGAAGAAATGGACCTTGACGCTAATAAAATCTCAGCCTATAGTACGGCCGTCATGGATAGCCCGACATACGCATGGTTGATCAATATCTTGCGTAGACAAGCTATCTATTATTGGGATGATTTGCAGCCACGTATAATGGCCGAGGTGCACCAAGAAATCAATGAAAATTTACCCACAGGCACGATCAGCAGATGGCAATCCCCTAACAAGCATACCGCAGCTTTTCATATCCCATCAAATATAGTAATATCAGATTGGCGTATAACGGATCCCGTATATCGAACTGCAACTCGACGCACAATTTTCGAAATGATGGTATCAACTTGTTCCTCAGATGATCAAATTCAAACAAGTACTGTTGGGGAGTACTTAGATCAAACTTGGGCAGCAACGGGACAGGTTATTTTAGGTATCCTGGAATGGGTAGCTAAAGCCGAATTTGGGCAAAACATTGGTGAGCAACGACAGATATGCCAAAGCAGCCGGGAAGACATCATTCTTACAAAGTCTAGTTTCATATTCAGGCGACATAACTGCCAGCGCGGCGTTTGATGAGATTGCTTTGACCGTTACAGTGGACGGGCCCGCCTACTCGATTGCGGAGTGCGGTGAGCAGTTGGCGTGGCTCGTGACAGCCCTTCGATCAACACACCGAAATAGTGTAATGTACAGTTCGCCGAGAATCACCCGTTGTCTTTCATGTCAAAACATATTGGGACAGCCGGAAGCGCAGCGTTGTTGGACCGTAGGATTTGATGACGAGAGGATAGATGGACATACCATATCGTTTCATTCTTCGATGGATCACCGGTGGACAGACGTCATATCTCCAGTCATTGTCCGCGGCTACCCAACGCATCTTCGTCCGCATCTTTGTGCTGGTGTGGAGATCACCGTGGATGTCCTTTTGCAATTTATCGGAACATCGAGGCTCTTTATCAAGGATGGCTTGATTCTTTTGCAAGGATCTCGAAGGACACTGCTGAGACTAAAAGAGGTGGAAGGCGTACTGATATGGCAGACTTCATGCGCATCGAACTACACCATTTGTGACGTCAGTAGTCTTTCTGCTTCTGTACCAGAGGATGATACGATATCGTCTCTAAATTTCGACGAACTCCGACGTTTCCGGCATATTGTTCGTAGTTGTACTCATGTCTCCAGAAGGATTCAAGCCCAGGAAGAGAATGAGAGATCAACCCCGTTAGCCGTACCAGTTAACATCCATCGTCAAGTTCCCCGCGATATCTTACCAATAAGTCACAAAACCTCCGCACACAACTCAGAATTGTCTACGATCCAAACAGATTTGTCGCTTGATTCGGATATGCTTTCGATCTCAGAATCGTCACAGGGTTCTTCTGGAGTGTTCAACATTGATCAGAAAGCCCTTCCTGTTATTGAAGAGATTGTCGAGCGACTGCTACATGGGTATCGCAGAGTGTATGTCTCACAGAAAGCTCAAGAGCCGGTAGTTGGGCAAGACAGACCTCTATTTTCAGATTTCGCTTCTACCGGGAAAAAAAATTGCACAGAAGCTATATCGCAAGATCCCATGGTTTCCAATACGTCTATATCAAAGACCAAAAGGACCGGTACATTTACTACAAAGAGAAAACTTTCCCGTGAGGACGACGATGAAGAAAGAGACGACTCGCCTGAGCGGCGCGTCAAGCGTTCAAGAACAGATGCGGGAAGTTGCCCTCCAAGGGTACTTGCCTGTCATTTCTACAAACTCGATCCAGTGAAGCACCGAAAATGCTTCCGAATGCAGCTCATTGGTATCTCGCGCGTCAAGCAGCATCTTGACAGAAGCCACAGCCCTATATTCTATTGCGAGCGCTGCCTGATCATATTTTCAAACAAAGAAGGTCATGAGAGGCATCAAACTCAAGAGTTTTGTGTTCGACAACCGGACGCAAAGTTAGACGGTATCTCACATCAACAGAGACGTGATCTATCTCGAAGATCTAATTCAAGCCTTTCGAAAATTGAAAAATGGTTCGCCATCTGGAAAATTCTTTTCAAGGGCATAACGCCACCCAGATCACCATACATTGACCTTGAACTATCAGAGGATCTCAATTCGTTCCGCAATTACGTTGGTGAATATGGACCAGGTATATTGGACCAAGATCTCAGGGCCAATAATCTTGTCTTGGCAGACGAAATATCAAACATCGCGCTCAATGAAGTTCTCAGAAGAGGCCTTGACAAAATATATGACCAGTGGCAATCAAGGAACCAATTAAGCCGTTCCAACGATGCCGATGATGCTCCGGATTTGGACCAGTCTAAAAAGATTGACTCTTTAGGGAGAGGACAAGCAAGTACACCAGCAGACTCGTTCATCGATAGTGGCGTCGGTCTGATGGGTGAAACGCTGCAGCCTCATCTTATGGTCTGGTCCCGTCCTGCAAAAACTCAGCAGGAAGATGAAGGACGCATATTAGTCCATGAACAAACCCAGGAGGAGCCAGAGTATGATTGCTTAACTCATGAAAGCAGACAGCCACTTTCCAAGTCAACAGTCTATGGTTGCTCGAACGAGGAAAACTTAATTGGAGACGTCTTATCCAATGGTATAGACCTAGATGGTAGCTTTTGCTGGGATAATTTCGAGAGCCTGGAAGAAAGGAATGGCTTATCGGGTGTAGGTTGGTAAGCCACTTTGTGAGGATCTTTGGACAAACCTCAAGTCGGGACAGGTTTTAGAAATTATGCATTTGGCAAATTTGTGTATCAATAGGAGCAAACACAAGGTGTACAAATATTTGGATTTCCATCTCATCTTCAAAAATGGGAAAGAATTTTGGTATGCTTGAGTTTCGTCTTAAGAGAAAGGTGGTATCAACGTGATAATACAAGTATCCAGTGCTCCTTTTATCCTCAACAATGTTTGTCCGCTCCGCTGCCAAACCAGTCCTATTGTAACACGACACACCCAACACTACCCTTACAGCTTCTCCGTTGATGGCTCCGCCGAGGCAGACGCACCGGGACCACCCTTAACAGGCATCTCAGCCGGGCCGCCCTTCGTAGCAGAGGCCTCAGTGGGCTCGGGACTGCCGCTTACCTTATCAGTGACCTCCTCATGCGCAGACTCCACGCCAGAGATGGAGTTGGAGTCGTCGCGCCAGAAGTCCTTGCGGCCCTTGGAGAGGCGCACCAGCCACGGCGGCAGGACACCGCCGGGAATCTTGTACGTCCACGGCTCCTTCTCGTGCTTGTTGGGCGGGACGATGCGGCCGCCAGACACCTTCTCGAGGATCCACACGACGGTGTTGATGACGATGTAGGTGCAGATGCCGCCGATCAGACCGTCGGCAATGGAGTAGGTGAACGGCATTAGGGCGATGGTGACAAAGGCGGGGATCGAGTCGCCTAGGTATTTCCAGTTGATATCGACGACGGACTTGACCATCATGGAGCCGACCAGGATCAGAACGCAGCCAGTGGCCCACGGTGGGATGGAAGCGAAGATGGGTGCGAAGAAGATCGAGATGAAGAAGCAGATGCCAGTGGTCATCGCAGTCAAACCGGTCTTGCCGCCTTCACCGATACCAGCACCGGACTCGATAAAGGCAGTTACTGGCGGGGTACCCAGAATAGCGCCGATGGAAATGCTGATGGAGTCAACCATATAACTAAAAGGCAGTCAGTTTCATGCGATGCCTCAACTCGTTTCAATAAGAGAGGACTTACGCTAGGGTGGAGCCCTCAAAGTCCTGGGTGACGGGGTCAATCAAGTCGGCATAACGAGCCATGGAGTACAGAGTACCTGTGCAGTCCAGGATATCGACATAAAGGAAGGTGATCAGGGCAAGACCAAACTGGCCACCATACCCGCCGACGTTCCACTGTTGGACATCGAGAACCTGCTTGATCTGGTGGAAGTCCACAACCTTCTTGAAGAAGTCAAAGTTGTCGTCTCCAACGGCGGTGTAAGGGAAGTAGGTGACAGGAGTCGTACGCGGCCACGAGATGATGGAGACCAAGACAATACCGGCAATAATCGCACCCTTGACGCGGTAAAGCATCAGGATCGATGTCAGGATACCACCGCAGAAGATTCCTATCCACATCATGGGGCTTCGCATCTTGTCGCTGTCAGGGCAGAGACCAGTGTCCGGGTCCCTCATGGAGTCATGGCAGCCAGCCAGCTCCAGGGGAGTTGAAGTTGCGCCAACAACCAGACCAATACCCTCGGAGTAGGTCAGACCGATGAGAGTCAGGAACAGGCCGATACCGACGCTTGTAGCAAGCTTGATGGATCGAGGGATGGCACGAGCAAGCCATTGTCGCATTCCGAACAGAGCGAGCGCAAAGAAGATCCATCCTTCGACAAAGATAGCAGTGACAGCAATCTGGTAAGGAACGGAGCCGGTGCCATGATAGCCAACAACTGTGTATGCGAAGTATGCGTTAAGTCCCATACCGGGGGCCAGACCAACAGGACTACATACAGTCAGTATCGAACATCGCCAAGGATTGCCAAGGTCAAATGCCGAAGCTACTCACAGATTTGCGAACAGGCCCATGCAGAAGGATGCAAGAGCCGAGATGGCAGCGGTGGCCGTGATCAGATCTCTCTTTATACCATTGACGCAAATCATGTAGTCGTCGTTGGCGTCGCAAGTGAAATCGTCCTCTGTATGCGGGCACACGCAGGTACCACCGCTGTCGGCCACAATGGAAGCATTTACAGCAATAATGTATCTGATCGACTGGTCAGCTTCAAGTCAATAGACCCATGGATTAATATTCAAGGCTTACGCCATAGCGAAGAAGGTCGCGAGACCTGCACGGATCTCGGTAAAGAAATAAGAATTCGCCCGAGTCTTCTTCTGCGCGGGGGGTCAGCCGTCTGGATCAGTGCCACATGGGAGCGGGATTGTCTTACATGGCCAGAGCCATCGAGTCTGAACCATCGCCCAACGGGGCTCTTGGCGACTTTCAAGTTCACCGTGTGAATCCAGCCCATGTTGACGACTCTCTTTTGGATAGTGTCTTGTGTTGATTTAAACAGAAAGTCCAGCTCCTTTCTTCAGCAAGTTTCGTGTATGCGCGGCGCGTGAGGGTTGCAAAGCACAAGCCAAAGACACAGCAGCAGAAGACTGGGCTTATAAGCTTTGAGTTTGTGGCCGTTACGGTTCAGCAACGCTGAGCTGTGGCCTAGTTATAGTTCGGTCAGGCAAAACGACGAGGACCAAACATCCAAGGGGTCCCGAGTGAATGGAGAGGCGGACGTGCAACATATCTTGTACTTTTTTGCAACCCACAACCCACAGCCCACAAGCTCGATCGAATCATCCATCAGAGCCTTTCAGTCGCCTCCAGGTTTAGCTCGACCAGCAGCGAGTAAGGAGCTTATCTCTGGGCTAACCCTAGTCTGGGCCTAAGGGCGCGGCGTATGTGCCGTGCATCGTCGTTCCCGAGATAATAGCCAGGCTTTGGTCCCCAGTGCGGCATAGCGTGGCCTGGACTGCTGGGGAGGTGTGGGTTGGCAGTGGCAGGTCTCGAGGGTCTCGAGGCGTGTGGGCGCGGCCTGACTGGCTACTCGGCGCCACCCTGTGATAGGCGTCGGCGGGATTCGCTGCCTCTGCGAACAGCATTTCAGCATTTACAGGCCTGCCCCATGGTGATGTTTGCCAAGACTTTTTCTAGAAGGAGTGGGCCGCATATCAGTCAAATCGCGCGCTGGCTAGGCTTTGACGAGGGGCGGATCATCGCCTAGGATGGTCCGTACTGCACAGTAGATAGTGGTGTGTAAGACCTTTTACTCACTCACTCCCTCGCTCACTCACTCAGCTTCGGAGCCCTAATCTGATCACTGAGATTGCCTCAAGGGGACATCGCACATGGACTCTAATCTCTCCCCTGTCTGGGCATATGCAAACGCACTGCGCCGCGCCGCTGGCGTTTGGGATCGGTCTTCATTGAGCGGCCACGGCGCCCTCCGTGGAATGCGCGGCCGGTCCCCCCTCACCTTGGACATGCTCACAGCCGTGGGAATCAGATGGTGAACGCCTGCCCCAGCCTTGGCAATGCGGGAGGGTTCCGGCTGGAGCTGTGTCCTGCAGTTTCGGACGTCGCCCTGCTGCTGGCTGCTTCACAGAGGCGCGCACCGAGACCATGGAAGAAGCAATTACTTCTGCGCTGGACGCATGCTCAGTGCGATGGTGTTCCCTACCAGAAGGGCTTGACTCTGATTGGGATGAGTTGACGAGGGTGACGATCGTAACATGTCACAGTTCTGTGCTGGTGCTGCTGGTGGTAGGCGATCTTGATCGCATCTCCGTCGGAAGACACTGGTTGAAATCGTGTGACAAGGTACACCCGCCTTGGAACCTCCGCCAAGTGACCCAAGCCGGCTCTCTTACTCTTTTCTCATGCTTTGGTGACTGCCCATTGACTCGGAAAGCAACCAGCTCTTCAAGTCAACATTCTTCGTCATCAGTTGCACTATTATTCAGTGTCTCTCTCTCTGTCCCTCTTTCTCACAATCCACAATTCACAATGCATGACAGGATTCGCGCGCTGACTGATAGGATCGCAATGGGCCTTGCTGGCAATGTGTAGTGGCTCGTTTAGAGCGGACCACCGCCCTGTGCGGCTGACTCGGGCGCTCTAGAAGGGCGGCGGACGGCACGGATAGCGCATGACTTGCCTGGTCTTGCCTGTCTGTCCGCCTTACAGTCTGCGAGCCTACACTCTAGCAGTCTAGCAGTCTAGAGACCTAGTCAGTCTCCACGACGGTGCCCATGCCCTAAGAGGGAGGTGGATGGCCTTAGTCGGAAATTCGAGAACCGGGCGGATCCAATTAGACTCGCTAGAGCCGGTCGAGTCGGTCCATTCGGATCTCGAAATAAGCTTCGCACGCAGTGTTACTCGAAAGGTTGCCGTAAGCTCGGTCACTGTCTTATCCCAGCGAATCCCGTCCTCAGCATTCACCCAGCACAGGCCACGGCATGGAAGGACTGTCTCTGTATGAAACCAGTCCTAGCGACCACTGCTGCACACACTACCTGGGCAATTAGCGACTCGAGAAAGATTACAAAATGCTGAATGACAAGGTCTCCCAGGTCTGGTATTACTATGTACAGTAACGCCCTTCTCGCCATGTGCGACACACCATGCAGGCACGCGCTGAAGCGACCGGCCCGCCAGCGCCTCGTTGATTTGGCTTCCCCGCCAGCGTAATAATCATTAGTTCTTCCAGCCTGAAGATGCTGAATGCCAAGCGCCAGGATACTTATTCGTAGTTTCGAAACTCTGTCTATTACTGCAGCTCCACAAAACGCTTCACACAAGTAGGAACTACCTGATCAAGGAAGTTTTGATTTCCTTGGCCAATTTGAAGTTCACTATGCTGGCTGAGGAGTACAACTGTTCACCCCCTTATTGTTGAAGCCCGAGTATTCCTCCTCCAAGTGGGTTTCGTTCTAGCGCCGGCTGTCGTAGTAGCTGCATCATCCATACACGCTAATTAGCAAATGTGGCTTGCCTTCTAACGGCGGCTGTTTTCAAGCAAGAGAGGCGGTGATGGTTTTCTTCTGCTAGAAGTTCAAAAAGTCTGGGGGCTGTACTCTTGGATATCAAAAGCAACTTGGGTTGTCCAGAACAAGCGTGGCTGCCGTGCGGGACAAAAGCAACTCCCACGTGGAGAGACATGACTCCGGCCCCATCTTACCGGCTGCTAGCTGAGTCAACTGTTGAGACTTGACAGACTTGACTCGCAGATGCTAATCAGAAGCTAAAGCATCACGAACTGATGTCAGTGACTTTTCACCTCCTTCAGATGGGAAGCGCTGAGTAGGAGAGTTGATGCGTACTTGATGCGTCGTGTTTGCGAGCGCCATCTATCTAGACGTGGGCCTCACGTCTTCCTTTGACTACTAAGGATATCCGCGGAACAACTCAGCACTATATGCAAGGAAAGGGGGCTGGCAACTTCGTCATGCCGGCTGGGATTGCCTCTACTACTCGAATCCAACTATAGGTGGCGGTGTGTTGTAATATCAACATTGCCTTGAACCCAGATGCGAGCAAAAGCAACATTATCTAACGATGGTTGTGGTCAATGTCTTACCTCATGGTCCTATCCCTGTAACATGCCGTGAATCCTGCCCCCGGGAGCAGCAGAATCCTCGCCGCCTTAACAGGCCCTAAATTGGCATTAAGTAGGACTGACACAGGATAGCACAGGGCGCCCCATGAACATAGTTTAGTCTAGTTGGCAATTCTCTGCAAACATGAGAGGCCAATTAAAAATAGCTGTTAATCCTTGCTAAGGTTTTATAGGGAGTCGTTTTGGGCGACTCCAACTTACAAGTAAACCTAGGGGTTGTTTCTTCTGCCACCACATGCTAGGCACAGCGAGGATTCTATATAGTACTAGTTCTTGCATGTGCGGAGAATCACACTTAGGAAATAGGGCACATTATACGGCTTTCATTGGTATGATTGCTTCATTCATGCTCCACCTGCCTCAAGAATCCGCAGACAACCTCATATTAGCTGCTCTTGATTGCAACTTGGTTCCTACTGGCCTAACTATATATCATGAACCCTTCAACATCGGATTTAAGGTACGAAATACCGATCCTCTGAACAAATGAATTGACAAGAGCCAGGAAAGAAGTAAAGATCTATAGGCATGAATGAGAAAAAAGAAAGATAATTGCCATAAGGCCCTGGGCTCTTACTAGTGGACTTCAATGAGTTTAGGAACGGAAAAATGTCATGATTAAGCCAAACATGACATCGAAGTAATCTATTCATGCAGATTACAACAAGAGGCTCAACCACTGACTTAAACGAACGCACATGTCGTGATCAAGATAATACTTAAAACCGGAGCAAATACCATTTATTCCTTTCTTCGTCTCCAGTATCAGCTCCTGCAATGTACCATAGAGGATCAGAGCTACCAAGAAACTGTGAATGTTGGGCCAGCGGCCAGAAGTCCTCCGTTGTCGCCGCTGTTCAGAATGTTCTGGGCAAGTGCTGCATAGACTAGCAGCAAGTCGCGGCACAACACGATCTGCTCCATCTTCTGCATCAGCGAATCTTCCCCGCCGATAGGAGAAGAAAACTCGTTCTTGGTCCAATGGTTGATGCGACGACGGACAATATAGATTGCTAGCTTGGAATTCCACTGGCACAGGCGTGCCAACTCGGCCGTCTCTAGGACCGGGAATTTGTCCCTCATTTTATGAGGAAGGAGCAAAAGCACTACTTTGGTACTATTCCCACTAGTACAGGGCCCCAGACGGCCGCTTTGAAATGCCAAATGTGCCTAAAACACACATCATGTGGTTCTGCAATAAGGAACAACACAATGAATATCAAATCGTCCAAATGTCAAACAACCTAGAACCAGCGAAACGCATGTACCAGAAGTTTTGTTGCTTCCGACGCGACGACCTCACTTTATGTGGCGTCAAAATTGAAGACCCCTGCTTTTGGATCATCCGGGTTGATTTCATCGACGGCTCCTGGGTGGTTCAGCGACCAGACGGTACACACAGTCACGATGCCGTGGACTACACTACACCTAAGCCCAATTGGAGATGTGATGTGTGCGAGCAAGACTTCGACTAGACCGAGAAGAACTCACACATTTGTCCAGGGCCTGCTGGCACATGCTACAAGTGCCGCGTCCGCTTTCCAAAAAGCGAGCTTGCGGCATATCGGCTCACATGTCCGTCGCTCGTTTGCGATACTTGCAGGAGGAGAAAAGTCCAAGACATGGAGCAGCATCGCAAAGAATGTCCTGGTCCACCCAATGTTTACACGAAACAGTGTACCAACTGCAGGCAATACATCGACAAGAACAAGTTAGACGAACATTTTGAGGCTTGCAAGTAGTGGTACTGTAGGTTTTGCTTGATGGCAATAGTGGCCTCAGGAAGAGATGAGCATCGAAAGATCTATGAGGACTGACAGTGCGGTATTTGCTGGCAGAGAATGACAGCGTCA